TAGAAGGAGAATTGATGCCTTTGAGCTGTGGTGCTGGAGAAGAGTATTGAGAATACCATGGACTGCTAGGAAAACAAACAGATTCATCCTGGAAAGGGTTAAACTGGGTGGCTCCTTGGAGGCAAGGATTCTGAGGCTCCGTCTAACATACTTTGGACATGTTGTGAAGAGAGAACGGTCCTTGGAGAAGGACATCATGCTTGGGAGGGTGGAGGGACGGCACAGGAGAGGAAGGCCCTCTATGAGGTGGATTGATTCAGTGACTTGGATAATGGGGATGGGAGTGTCAGAGACAGTGCGATTGGCACAGGACAGAGCAGAGTTTAGGGCTGTTGTACATAGGGTCTCTATGAGTCGCAAGCGACTCGACGGCACATAACAACAACAACTGGTACCAATAGTGTTGCTTGAAAGATGGTGAAAAGATTGAGATTGCTAACAGCTTCCATTTGCTTGGCTCTACTATCAGCACACCTTGTGATTAGTCACTCAGTAAGTGACATGCCACACCACCAAGGCTCCTTGTCATCCTATTATCCTCTCTCTCTCTCTCTCTCCCTTGTGAGAACTATTAATGTTATTTTTTTATTTTATTTATTGTAAAAAACTTGTATGGGGATACAAGGGGGTGAGGGTTGGGAGCAGAAGGGTGGAGATGGGCAGGGATGAAATCACAGGGCTGCACAATTTGGTGGGTGGGGGAAGTGGGTGAAGGAAATGAGAAAGATCCAGTGGGGACCAGAAGAGACAGGGTGATGGTAAGCATAGTCCAAAGGTGATTAATTTTTTAAAAAAAACCAAAGAAATTGTCTTATTCACTTGTGGGTTTCTCATTTGGGAATGGGGCTCAGACTCTTTGGCTTCTTCATGCCAAACAGGGGTGTTGATGTGAAGGGGAAGGGGAACCCACTTTAACACCTTACTGGTGGTCCTGAGTTGACACTGCATGCCTTCTTGTTCAGTTAGAAGATATTTTCCTGGTGTTTCTTGCCCTCTGGACTGCAAAGTGTTTGCCAAGGTGGGTCCAGTGGGACTGGATGGCTGAACCCTGAGGCTTCATCCTCCTTCACTTCCTTAGCTGGCAGTTATATTTCCCTTTGACTCTAGAACTGAGTTCAAGGTTCAGGTCTGGAGTAAAAGTGTTAAGGTTACCTATTAGAAAGGGTGCAAACCTAGAGAGAACAAACTTGTGAGTTACAAATAGAAGGGCTTTGGATTGTTACTTACAGGTGTATTGGGGGAGAAGGTGAAGGAAAGTGGCCTAGATAAAGTTCTCTGTATACCCTAGGCAGTTTCCCCCAGCGACCTGAAGGCTCTTCTCAGGGGGGGGGGGGGTGACTCACCCCAGGGACTGAACGGCACACCTTGAGGGCCAGGTGACACTCTCTGGGGGCTGGGTGGCTTACCCCCCTACCAAAGCCCCCCCCGAGATCTGGACCCTGTGCCTCACCGAAGAGCTCTTTCCCCTCCACCAAGTGGTCAGATTGCAATTTGAAGTAGGCATCACTGCCCTTCCCCTTTATAAATGGAGAAGGGGATTTGAGAGTGGTGAACATATCCTCCCTAGGTTTAAATGGTTCTTGGCAGCAGTACGCGAGAAATTAAAAGATGTGGTGTATTGAGGATATCTGCTGTCTTGGAAATGTTGCTGTTACTAAGTGTCATTAAGTTGTAGACAACTCACAGCGACCCTTATCAATCCATTGTGTTGATGATCTTCTTCTCTGGCCTGACCAAGGAAATCTTCACTGACATCGAGATGCTTTCTCTTATCAATCTAGACCTTCACCTCCCATAGCTCCTGTCACCAGCCCTCCCTGCCCCCGCTCTTGCACTAGGGGCCTGTGATTCACCAGGTGTACAGGGGCTCTGCCACACTGGCTGTTGGGCCTGACGCTCACCGCCCGTTCTAGGCTGGGGGTCCCTTGAGCCCTGGCCAAGGCACCACCATAGGGTTGCGGCAGCATGGGCTTGGTGGCTGGCAGAGGGAGGAAGCAGGACCCACCCGTGTTTTCCGGAGAATCTGTCCTCCTGACAATGAGCTCCAGTCTACACTGCTGATCAGAAGTCACCTGCTTTGCTGTTTGGGCACATTTAAGTTGCATTCCCTGCTTCAATGAGGCCCACCAGGCCTCCTGCTCACCATGTCATGTCTCCTGCCACCACAACCTAGGTTCCAAGAATTCTTCTCAGAACAAATCTATTCTGTGGCAGTGTGCAGGCTCCGCCACACCAGACTCGGGGCCTAGGGCCTGCCATACATCCCAGGTGAGGGGATCCCTGGGGTCTGGCCACAGGAGCCTCATGAAGCTGCAGTGGTGCCATGGGCTGGACAGTGGGGGGGCTGGGAGCTGCGGTACTCACCCATTCTTCTTTGGGAATCTTTGGTCTCTTGATGTTGAGCCTCAATCTATAATGAAAACCAGTAATCAGCTGTTAAATTGTTCAATTATCAATAAACAGGACTGTCGAGGGCCTTGGTGGCCTGTTTCCATGAGGCTTGCTGTTCCTGCAGATCCTTACGTTGTTTCCACCGCCACCATATATTATGTTCTCTTTTAAGAAAATGAACTATTTCTTACATCTCTGTTTTTCTAAAATATGAGGAAATCAGATAACAAGAGATATAGTTTGCAAGAGCGAGAGAACTTAGTTCCTTGTAGAGGTTAAACATTCTTATGTGTTTCGTGTACAAAATGGGTCCTTGTGGAGAGAACGTGAATTACAATGCTCCTATTAAATAAAGGCAGCATGCTTCATTCATTTTCTGTATCTGTCTGGTCCTACTAGTGTAGTGTGTTATATGTTGACCTGTTAATCTAAAAAAACCCAACAATCAATGGTTCAGATCCACCAGTTGTGTGTGGGAGAAAGATGAGGCATTCCGGGTCTCATTAAGATTTAGAGCCTCGGGAAACAAATGGAGTGTCACTGTGAATCAGAACCCACTCAAAAAGTTTTGGTCTTGACCAAAGACACTCTTCAAAATGATGGAAGACTCCTCCAAAGGTTTTTTTGTTCAAGTGGGATCTAGATCGCTACTGTAGTTGTTGAAAGTCATAGAAGTTACCACTGGCAAAGCTTTCCAACAAGATAACACAGCTCACCATCCATACCTTAGTGATCGGATGGTGATGTCCCCCATCAGGCAGCTTCTGGAGAACACTCGTGATCCATCGATTGAGAGTGAAAAAAGACAATGACAAATAGAGATACCATTTGACCCAGCAATTCCACTACTGGGAATATACCCTGAAGAGACCATAGCTGACATCCAAGCAGATATATGCACACCCATGTTTATTGCAGCTTTGTTCACAATAGCAAGGAGTTGGAAACAACCTAAGTGCCCATCAACAAACGAATGGCTAGAGAAGCTGTGGTATATTCGCACAATGGAATACTATGCTGCATTAAAAAACAAGGAACTCATGCAATATTATTCAAAATGGTTGACTCTGGAGAACATTATGCTGAGTGAAATATCCCAGTCACAAAAGGACAAATATTACATGATGCCACTGTTGTAGAATGGGACTGTCCTTGGGGTTGGGGAGAGACTGAGTAAGATGGGTTCAATAATGTATACTGCACTGAAACAGAGGAAGGAGAGAACCGTCTAAAAGAGAGATGTAACTGGGTATTTCTGTCATCACAGGAGACTAGAGCGAAGGCTGCATGGTGGAGGGGACCTGGGGGAGGGTTTGTAAAACAATGAAAGAATCTTTTCTTTTACTTTTCCATAATTTTTGGACTCATGTACTTATAACTTGTTAGTCAAATTTGTGTCTTCTAGGTTGCAACACCCCCATGATACATCTTGAAGGATATGTACATGTACAGCCAAGCACAATCAATAAGAGTGCATCTGAATTCCAAAATCAATCTCCATAATAGTCTATGTGTTTCCTACTGCCAAAGGGGCCCTTTAGAGTAGTGAGAGAAGATCTTCACCCTGAAACCCACAGCGTCCCTTTTCAGCAGGAAGTAGCTAAGAGAATACGCCGTGCCCTTTTCCTTATGACTCAGGGTGAAGTCTCTCTCAGGGAGGAGTGATAGGGAATGGCAAAGGATACACTGACAAAGAAGATTAATCAGAACTGGCTTTGACAAGCACTGTGGCATTTGGACAAGAACAAACTGGGAGTAGGGTAGAGAGAATAGTGCAACAATGAATGAGTGGAAGCCCAAAATCTCTGTAAATGTTTATGAAAATTAATAAAATATAATTATAGAAAAAAAAAAGACAATGACATCTTCGTAGTTCACACTTGGTGATTCCAAAAGGAACTCCTGGAGCTCACTTGGAAGAGGCAAACCTTACTGAGTATTTTAGTTTGTTAGTCTTAGGGAGACTCCCTTCACCTTGTCATTGAAAAATAAGTCCCAAGAAGGGAAGGGAGAAAAAACAAAACCCCAAAACAAGACAGATTTGTTTCATGAAGCTTTTCCCATAAGGTAGACAGAAGAAGAATTGATGCCTTTGAATGATGGATTTGGTGGAGATTACTGAATCTGTGTCGGAGGAGGTCCAGCAGAGTGTGCCTTGGAGGCAAGAAAGGTGAGGCTTCATTTCACATACTGTGTGATCAGGGGGCCAATCCCTGGGAAAGGGCATGATGCTTGGAAGAGTTGAGGGTCAATGAAGGAGAGGAAGATCTTTAAGGAGATGGATCGACACAGTGACGGACAACTAGCCTAAGGCTGCCCCTGTGAGGATGCCAGGGTTTCAGTCTGCTACTCCCAGGGTCACTATGAGTCAGAGTGGACTCAATGGCACCTAACAACAACAACAAAGTTTGCTGCAACCCCACACCAAGTACTGGCCTGTGAGGGACTAGAATAAGCCTCTGGCATTAGACCTTTAGCAGCAAGAAAGGGCAACAGACACTCCGGTTTGGAAAACGAAAGAAGCAGACATTTTATTTCAACACCATTCACCCGGCAGCAGGAATAAATAAGGACAAGGGGGCAGGGCACTGGGGCAAGGCTGGACGGCTCTACGTTTTGCAGCAAATCCCACACTTGGATTTCCGGCAGCAGTCACAGCAGAACATGCAGATGGGGAAGTGGGTGTCTCTCCGGCCTCGCCTCTGGATCTCAGACTGCGGGAAGGAAGGGAGATAAGTGAGGCTTGGGCCCAGGGTAGGGGGCGGAGGGCAGCTTGGTGGGGCATCCCAGGTGGTCTCACCGTTAAGCCAGCCTTGGTGGCCGCTGTGTCCCAGGAGTGGTAGTCTGTAAGCTGTCTTGTCTGAAAAAGAAGAGGGTGTTGAGGATGGCCACCTCCCAGAGGGTTGCATTTGTGGCTCCGCTGGAGCCCTAGGACTGACCTTGTATTCTTGTTTTTCTCACCTCCTACAGGCAATTCTCCTTCCTAAACAGACCCCAGACCAGTCCCTTTCTATCCACAGTTGCTACTCTTCTCAGCACTTCCCCTTCACCTGCCTGGATGCCAGAGACTCAGGGAGCTCTGGTGGCCTAGTGGTAAGGAGTTGTGCTGCCATCTCAAAGGCACATGGTTTGAATCCACCAGCTTCTCCTCAAGAGAAAGGTGGGCAGTCTCCTTTCCTGCTATTTACTGCCTCTGAAAACTCGCTAGAGGGTCACCTAGGAGTCAAGTCCGACTCAACGGCACACGACACTCAGCTCTGTCTCTTTTCTCTGTCCACAGTCAGTACTCTGCTCCAGTTACATCCTCGCTCGCCTGGATGCCAACGACTCAAGTGTTCCTGTGTCTATGTCCCTTACAGTCCACTCCCCACACAACAGAGTAACTCAAAGCGTTGCCAGATCATGTCTGTCCCTCACTTCAAGCCTTTGCTCTCAGTTAAAACCGGTTGCCTGCCTGGTACATGCCCAACCCTCAACTTCATCCCCACATACCATCTCCTTCACTTCAACTGAGCCTCACATGACGCTCACCTCCAGCCTCTGCATGATGCCTCTTTTGCCTGGAACCTCCATACTATGACTCAAATGTCATTTCCCCCCCCCCCACACACACACACACAGCAGCCTTGGCTCTGCCCAAAGAACCCACTATACTCTCTCCAACCGCGTTCAGGTGTTCGTGAAAGGAGTTGCACCTACTGAAGGCACATCCTATTTTATTTACTGACTCATTCCCATGCTAGAAATGCCAGAAACTCTTGCCCCTGATCTCCGTGGTTCATGACTTCATCTCCAGTGTCTTGAAAGCACTCAGCACAGAGTTGTTGCTATGTGTGGATCTGACTCAGAGCTGACCCTCCAGTGATTTTCAGAGGCCGTAAATCGCACAGGATATATTGAATATACCACAGTCTGTCTAAAGATCAAACCGTCATGTAGGAAGTGCTTCTTAGAAAGTGAGGAGGCAAGATGGAGGAGCCCCATCCTGCAGCACAGTTTCTTACCACTAGGACATCAGAGTTCACAGGCACAGGGAGGCACTCACATGCTGTGGGATTAACTGAGTGAGGGCCCCCCAGTTCCTGCCACTCAGTACCCCAGCCTATTCTGTAAGCAGCTGTCAGTCTTTCTTCTCTGCCCTGGACCTGACCAAACACTCAGAGAGCCTCCGGCAGTCCCCCCACCAAGGCTCTGGATCTCCAATCCCTGCTACCCTGTTAGAACTAGGGCCCTGGCGGGTCTCACCTGGGGGGAGAATATGGAGCCGCTGGCCAGGCTGGTGAGCAGGAGCAGCAAGAGGCAGGCAGCCCTGATCTGAACGTCCTTTGCCATTGCGCGTCTGTCTGTCTGTCCAGCTACAGAGTCTGAGGCTGGCTCTGGTGTGTAGGACCCAAGTTCCATCACTTATATGGGACCTGCTGCAAGGGGGCGGGGGTGCCAAGCCCCCCTCCCCTTTGACCTGACTCATTTCCAAGAAGGTAGTGGCGCCGCCAGGAAAAAAAAAAGTGGGAGATAAGCGGGAACAGAGTGACAGGGAACAGGGTTGTGTCACCCTCAGCAGGGGGAGGTGTGTTCAGGGGGTGGGGCAGACAAGGCCACAGACTAGCGACTATCAACTCCAGTCAGTTATTTGGGGAACCCTTCCTGCAATATGATGTCACCCGCTGACCTCAGGAAAATGTTCATCTTTTTTTCCCAGAAGCTGGATTGCTTGGTGAAAAGTGAGGCACCCCTTCATTTCCCACCATTCTGGTACCGTCTGCTGGGCACCTCATGAGTGCCTGACATGCTTTAGGGGTGCTTCCCACCACTCGGGTTCTCTTCACACATGCATCAATCTGGCAGCAACACAAAGAGAGCAAGATAGGAGGTGGTTCTGTCAGCCTGAGCTCCCCAAGTTCATGCAGTGTTTTTTCTAAAGTGTTAACATCATAAAAGTGACTCTTGTAGCTGGAGAACACATGTGGGAACTTTTCACAGTAAAAGGCAGTAATAACAGCAACAGCTAAGATCCAAGGAAGGCATCACACAGGCCAGGTATTGTACCAGCATCCGTACTCACTCCTGAGTAAAACAGCAAGGCCACCTATGCTGCTCCCAGCTGCCTTTGCCCTCTTAACCTTGGTCCTGCCCTCAGGGGTCTAGCTACCTTCTCAGCCATCCAATCCTACTACCTAGTCCCAATATCCTTGGGGACATTTTCTTCATTTTATAGAAGACTGGCTGGAATCAGGGAGAGGACACTCTCCAAGCTCACCCAGTTCAAGGCAGGGCCGGAATAGGAATCTGGACAGCTCCAAGGCTGCAGGGTGTGGAGGTGTGCTGCAGGGTGTGGAGGTGTGCTGGAGGGTGTGGAGGTGTGCTGCAGGGTGTGGAGGTGTGCTG